CCATGACTGAACATCTGATAATGATGTGTTTGCCCTGCTTCAGTGTTTACATCGTGGGCTTTCTCCTTTGCATGTGATTTCTTAACATGGACATAGTGATGGTCTATAAATCTTACTGTTGTCTTATATGGAGCCAGCTTAAAGTGATTCTCTGTTAAAAAAAACATTTTGAAAGGCAACTTAAATACTTAGCTTTAGAGATTATAGTATGAGGCGGCCTAGCCAGGTAGGGTAAGTGCAATCCAGGTTTAACACATGTTTACACTTGACCTGAAAAACAATCAAAAAGTACAAGATACAAAATGCTTTATAGGTATATTATCTGTTTTTCAGAGTTAAATTGCATGAAAACATGAATGCAACATCATATATTGGTACTGGAATAGTGTTGCCACAGTATTGGGTTAAACCCTGTTTTTATTTTTTGTACAGGAAAGCCCTGTCATCCTGTTCAACTATAAACTGATTGTCAGCTAGCCAGAGTTATTTGTTGTTGCTGGCTTTGCCAAAGCAATAACCATATCAGATGTTGCTCTCTGCAAAAGACATGCAAAGTTTGCTTGCTCTCCTCGACACACAAACACACTCAAACTGCATGAGAAAGGGGATAGCTTAGGTAGCAACAACAATTCCTTACATTCTGATATCAGATAAGTGTGAGAACCCACGCTTGACTTGCGGTCTAAAACAGTTTAAGGAGTGAAACTTCATTCAAATACTTCACATGCACATGCTTGGCTTTACACTCCCAGATGACACAGTTTCAGCAGACCATAACACACTCAATCATGCACTGACTTGCTTTGCATAAGAAGTCATTTTAAGTGTATGCTATTCAAGTGATGCTTCATGTTAAAGGGACAACTGCATGTATGTCAGTGATGTGAGGAAGTATCTGAAAGTATAGCTGTTGTACCAGGCACTAAATCCCTGAGTCCCTGTAATGTCACTTTTTGACATGTGGACGGCTGGTTTGGAGTTTAAAAGGTGGCATTATTGAAGCGGCCATTTTTTCTCTGTTTTTTTGAGAAAGGAGTCAAGATTTTTGACAAGATGGAGAAGCTGGGGAGCAGCATGGGATTGGAAAACTGTAGATAAAACAAGTTGTGCAGTCTATCCCAAGACCAATTCATAAGCTGGCTAACAAAGATGGTTAACCAGTAACCACAGTGTTTCCACAGATTGTATTTTTTGTCGGTAGCTGATCTGAGTTGTTTAATTATTGAGGCTTGGTCAATTCCAATGGACTATTAAGGCCGGCAGCAGGATAGGATGCCCCCGCTATGGAGTCTAGACACTCGCTGTGGTGGTGATAGAAGAATGCAGGATGTGATGAGGAGTGGGTTTCTGAGGCTGGATCTGAACTCTGCTGATCTGGAATAGAGGTGAAATGACAAACTGACTGTGGAAGAGAGAGAACAGATTTTAAAATTTGACAGCAGCAGCAGGATGATTAGTTGAGAGAGGTTGTGGCAGAATCTGGTTGGATTATTACTTAAAGACTAAACCTCCAATATCAGCTGATCAGCAGAGCAGGGACTGGAAGTGGTAGAGAAGGATAGGCTAAGTTGAATGAAGAACGTTTTAATGAATGTGTGAGAACGCTGAGCTCCACTGGCTACAATAAACTAGATGGTGATACCAAAAATGCCAAACTGGGTTCCATAAATAAATGAATGATATCACAGTGGCTAAGTGCATTTCTTATTTACATTCTAGGAATGTGACAGAGGCTGAAACATACTCAGAAGTTATGTACTTTGCCTTCAGTCCATATCTAGTCTATCTCAGCTACAAATGTGCTACATTTCTGTTCCTCTCAGATCTATTAACATCCATCTCTGAGGCGGTTTCTTTGGCAGTCTCTAGGGAAATAAAAAGGCAAATTATTACAGTCTGCTTATATTTGCCTGGAGTTGCACCAACAATAATTGTTTTGTAGAGAAACATCAGGCCTACAGGTCAAGAGAAACAGAAATATAATGTGATAATTCTGCAGCTTTAGAGGGAAATGTATCTAGGAAAGATCATAATCATCTGGATGATCTCACTTAGTGCGAGTACAAATTCAAATGTCTCAGACCGGACGCATGTTTCATCTAATCAAGACATGAGGTTTATGAGCCATCAGCATCGCTTCATTCCCAGTGTCCCGCTGCAGGAACTTTAAATATCATCTCAGCTGTTTAGTGGATGCTGCCCAACAATAATTCACTGGAGTGTTCGATGTAGCCGAGACCCTGAGCCAGCTTCTTGCCAAAGTATATTTCCTTCCCACAGCTATTCCTCAGTATAATGTTCCTGTGGCGTTCATGAAGTGAAGCCGTTTAACTTGAGACTCCTCGAGAGCCAACAGTTTTTTTTTGGTCTCGTACGCTGGCTCTGGGCCTGTTCATTGAGAATCTGTCCCACAGGTCGTTTTAAGTTTAGAAAAGCAAAGAGGCTGCGCTCCAAACGTCTTCAACCCAGTCCGTTTTTTGTTTTTTTTACCTCCCATTGAAAAACAGCTACATGTATACCCTTTACTATTCTATTTAATACTCCACCATGTATTCAGTGCTGTGGTGAACAACAGGAATGTATGAGAAGACCCTTTTCAAGCTTCTTTGGAACAACTTTCTTCTTATTCTACCTGCTTTAAATCCCTGGAATCCATGGACTCTCTGTGTGGAGTTTGCACATTTGCCTTATTAAGTATGAAGAAAAACACAGGACGCTGTCTGTTTGAAGCCTTTTGATTCTATTTCTCTATGATTCACAGTGACCAGGATGTGAAATTAAACATAGGAATTCACACTCCACATTAATTGAACACTGTCTACACTTACCGGACTCAGAGGCCCTGGCTCCTTTCTCTTTTCTTCTTGTAGAGCTTTAGAAAGAGGAGGAGGTGTGTGTACGAGTGTGTGTGTGTGTGTGTGTGTGTGTGTGTGTGTGTGTGTGTACTAGAGAGTAGAAGGGAGGACACTGTGAATGTTTGCGTGGATGTGTGTAAGCATACATACACAGACGCACAGATGGCAGCTGCTCAGCGAGGGCCTCGGAGTGGTAATTACTGAGTGTGAGGCGCATTACTTAACTCTTTAGCGTTGCAGTCTGCAGGGCTTTCTGTATTGTCCCTATTGGTGGAGACAAGGAATTGGTTTGGAAGAGACAGACTGGTTCAGGTTGTGGGAAAATAAAGTAGTCTCATGGGGAGCTTAAACAAAGCCATAACTCAACGTCTCCAGGGCTTTGTGAAGTTTCCATTAGAAGCCGGTCACAGGTTCAAACAGTGTCGCTGTTTTGATGCAAAGACGACACAGAATAACATGACAAGACAAACTGCAGCTGCACTTTTGAAATAACCAGTAATAATACTTGTATGATGTTAAAATGCACAAATATTTCAGTTAGAGCTCTTTTCTGAAAAAGACAGATTCATACTTAACTGATTACTTCCCTAATGAAAGTTAATGTTCAACTAATCTTTCCATTTACATGCAGCTGCACATATTGTGATTAACCCCAGCCCTGCCAACTGTTGACATGTTGGTTTAAATGCAAACCAAAGAGCTGACTGTCTACACGCACGAGGCTGTGTTACAAACGTCTTGAAAAACAAAAACAACAGCTGAAACTGATAGATTTGAAGTCCAAAGAATGCTCCTTAAACCTGTTGAACATCTGTCTCTTTTTATAAACAAAATGCTGCATTTTCAAACCCTATTTGGGATGTCCAAGCTGAATTTGATTTCATTTTGATTTCATATATTTTATTTATCAGTTTGCAATGATATTGATCATTTCTACAAAGAAAAGTAAAAACATGGTCACACTAGATTTAGCGAGTCGCTAATTTCCATCTGTAGTCCCACATAAAAGTGACACAAGACAAACAATAACAAAACTCCAGTCAACAAAGGACTATAAAGAAACACACCTGACAACATAAAGTACTTAAACACTGTGGAATAATGTATATCCTGCTCATCTCACAGGCCTTATCATTACCCATGTCTATGTGCTGCATGTTGTCATTAACTTACTTTAAATTATGAATATTATTTTGAACCTGACTGTTAAAGTTTCATTTGTAGTAAACTAGAAATGGCTCGTTTTGGCATCATGTATAGAACTGTTATCGAAGATCCTGTACATGATGATTCAATTATACAGACATTTATCAAGTTTTGAATATTTGTGTTGTAGCACTCGGTCTGGTCAAGTCATGACCAATTTTTTAAGGTCTCGTCTCGGATGAAGAGCATTTTTACTCGGTCTTGTCTCGGTCTCGGACTGGGTAGACTCCAGATTTTAAGTCAAGATCACCACTGATCGGCAAGTTTTCCACGTCATTACTGTGATTATCCCATCTTCTTTGGGTTACTGTCTGAATGACTGACACAGCCCCTGCACACAAGAGGATAATTTTTCATTTATATTTATGGTCTTGGTCTCGTCTCGGTCTCACCCTGCCTAGGTCTTGACTCAGTTTAGAGCCATAAATATCTGGTCTTGTCTTGGTCTCGGTTAGTTGACTACAACACTACTGAATATTGTTGTTAGTCAAAATCACTGTACATTAAATGTATTACTTGTCATGGCCTTATAAAATGTGCTTATAAAATGTTTGACCTCCACACTCAAACCTAACATCAAATTGAATCATAGGTTTAGGTATTGGTTCAGCCTTTGTAATGTGTTTTTGTGGGAAACTAAGGAAATGATACTGTTTTTACTGAATTAGGAATTGGACCACTCTCTTTTGGATCAATTAATTACACTGGTGAAGGTTTTTTTTTCTCATAACTTCGACTATGTTTGTAGGTCAAACTGAAAATTGAAATATTCCTACATAACTGAACTTATGAAGGCAAATTAAATGTTGCCTTATGAAAAAAGAAGCCATTTCTCAAGAGTGTTTTTTTCCATACTGTTAATGATGTACGAGTTACAGTTTTTAAGGTGATACCATCTGGCATCATTTGAACTACAGTGTTGCTTGATTCTTTTCCCAGATTTCATACCATGGTGGTGGAGAGGGAGGGGAGAGTGATGACTCAGAGGGGGAGAACCAGGAGCTTGCACAGATTGACAGAGGTAAGTGCCCCTCTGAAACTAAATTATCTCTTCTGTAAACAGATGATGGTCTGCCTCGACTGTTATTGATTTTCACACGTTCTAATTAGATGTTTCGAGTCAACAGATGGTATGCTTGTAGATAAGAGCGTTTGCACTTTTTTTTTGCAACTTTGTCTACACCTTCTCCTTTGACCTGATGTCCTCTTTATTGACTCCTGTAGAGAGACGGAGAAATTGTGCCCTCACCCCATTGGCCACCAGCCAGCAGCACAACCAAGGTCCCCTATCTCCGGCTCGGTTACGACGCCTCCGCCTCCTTTTAGATGCCAATCTGGATCGCCACTCTTCAGAGGAGGAGCTAGAGCGCATCAGCTGTGGTGACAACAGGAAGTGGGTGTCAGCGCTCCCCCAGCGACACGGCGATCACCACAGCAGCGCCTCGAGTGACGAGGAGGTGAGGGACCTCTGTGGCTGTGGGTCACCGGCTGCGTCTGCCAGGCCGCTGGTTGAGCCGGTTGCTTGCTTGGCTGCATCCCCCAGCCCTGTACTCTTCAGCTCCAGTCCACCACGTAGCCTCAAGCCACCCCCCATGAGGTTTCAGCTGCAGGTGGTCCAGCCAGTTGCACGGCCCATCATTTTAACCCACTTTGACCAGTCAGCACCTTACAGAAAGTATCGGCACAGTTATGGAGGAGAGCCAGGAAGGCCCAGTCTGGACCTGGAGAAAATGCAACAGGTGAGTAATCTATAGACCAAGATTTAGAGACACTGACAGAATTAACTTTATTTTTATAACCTGGGCAATATATGCCCTGATGGACACAACATATTTATGACTTGCTCTGGAAGATTGCTGCAGTGAGAAGCTAGGTAAGGTGCTTTTTGTAAACCAGAAACTGCCGTTACATCTCTCTCTTCAAAGCCACCAAACTCCATTGAAAAGAACTATAATCACAGAAATGAGGATCTGCTGGTTTACTGCCACTTCAACCAGTTTGTAGTGTTTACTGTGTGACGGTAACTATTAGTTTTATTGTCTGTTACACTAATGTTGGATCCAATATTACCATCTAAAACACCAAAGCGGCTCGAAAAACATAACAAACTAACTAATCGATGAAGTGGCTTCTGGTTCCTTCCTGGCAAAGTATGTTGCAGTCATGTTGAAAAAATTTACTTGAGCACTTCCAAAACAGTTTGTACCTGTTTGTCATTTAGAAACAACAAATGTGTGAAATCAAGTCAAAGATACAATACCTCATCATGTAAACAAATATTTACTTGGAAAAAAGAAATCTGGAGTTAAAGGTGTATACAATCTTTATTTTGACTGAAATACATTTAAAGAATCAAAAGAAAGAAATCAATACATAAAAGTGTTGTCTCAAAGATTTATTGGATTATCAATAGAGATTATTTTATTTCATTTTAATATCCATGCTTTAGCGGATTGAGGTTAAGACAGTTCCTTACTATACACTAATAGGTTTTAAAATGGAAGTGCAGACTGTTTTATAAGATAATCATATATTTGTTACGTTTCCAAACCAGTGAATAAATGGTCAAACTGAGAAAACACATATTTTCATCTCTTACACATCATGATATACTGCTGCCCCCAAATCTTTGTCACCATTCACAGGATGCTGCCTCATGTGTAAACCCCTTTTCATCACATGTTGAAAGTTGATTATTTTAGTGCTAATAATAGAGTTGATAAATGTGATCTGATATGTTACTTGCATTGGAGCATCATTTGTGTTTGACAGAAAATATTCAAAGTACCAAATAACAGATGAGCCTTCCACTCCCATCCTAAAAAAACTCAAACAGGCTGAGGATTTGATCCAAAAATACAATTATGTCCCTAAAGTCTAACCGGCTACCCTGCACACACAAACACACACACACACACACACACACACACACACACACACACACACACACAAACAAAGTCTTCCCTTTCCATCGCCGGACGCTCGCCACCTCGGTGGTCTGGCTGGAGAGGGATGAAGGAGAGGGAGGCACGGACGGCAGATGTCCGCCCTCGTTTCTCACAAAGGCTGGCAAGCGAGGGGAAACGATGGAGGGGTGGAGGCAGAAGGAGAGGATTAAATAAACAACAGAAAAACGACAGCCACTAATGAGTCATGGAGAAGCTGGTCCACTAATCATTAAAATCCAATAGACTTGTTGGCCCACACTATAGATGGGAGAGGATGTGTGTCTGTCTGTGTGTGTGTGTGTGTGTGTGTGTGTGTGTGTGTGTGTGTGTGTGTGTGTGTGTGATTGCATAGACAGAGACTGCAGGTTTCAGGGGTCCATATGTCCATGGGGTTTTTAGAGGGAAAGAACAGATGATGAGAGACAGTGGGCAGCAATAAGAGGGGTGAGCAGAAAAAAGTGGAAAAGAACGTGTGTGTGCGTGTGTGTGTGTGCGTGCGTGCGTGCGTGCGTGCGTGTAGGGCTGGGGTACGCGTCTATCATCCTGCTTGTCTGCATGTGTCTGCATGTGTACATCCTCCTGTCTGTGAGTTTTGTTGCTGTATCAGTGTGTGTGTCTGCATGTGTGAGAGTGTGTGTGTGTGTGTGTGTGTGTGTGTGTGTGTGCGCACTCAGTCAAGTGGAATGGGAGGTGCTGCAGGGAATACAATAGGGGGCCTACAGAGGTAGCCTGCAGACACAGCTTCAGTCTCCCATTAACCCTTTAGCTTGACAACTCCCATTTATAAAATCTGACTGAATCTAGAAACCATCACCATGTAATCACTTTCACATATGTCATGTCTGGAGTTTAAAAACTGGGAAAGACAACATGGCTGAGCTGGTTCCTCAAAACAAATATTACTGGAGCCCGACAGTTTAGACTTCTTGATGAGGAGGCTGGTATAGTCTATTTTTTAACTGTAATGGAAGTTGTTATTCTCCTTTTTGTGTGTGCCAATTTGCACCAATATGATTATGTAAAAATACCCAGATAGATTTTTTTTCAATAAATTTAACAGGACTATCCAAAAGATTATACATCAGACCATCCCAATCAGCTGTGCAATCTAATGCTGCTGAATAAAGACCTCAGACTCCTAGTTTAAGAATCTTTGTGAAGTCTTTGTTATTATCTGAACTGCTGAAGGGTATCGCTGAAACCAGGGACGTTGGTTAAACCTGTGATCAAGTTATAATTGTTCCATAATGTCTCCATGTGAAAACTACACTGCAAAAAGTCAGCACTGAAAAACATTTTAAAAAACATAACTTAGGGTAAACAGTGTCAAAGTAGACACAGATTAATCTACTGTGATACATTCTTCTGATACAAATAAAAGATTGAAACATCATGTTTCTTACATGTTGGAAAATACAATCCCATAAGAAAGCAACAGGTTCTGATAAATATTATAAAGTAAGAAGACATAAAATACTCCAGACTTAATACATACATCTTTATCAAACATTTCATTTTATATTTCATTGATAACAAGCAGATTAATACTTTTCAGATCTAACTTTTTTTTGTTAAGATAAAGTTGAAACTATGTCAGAGTCCATGTGGGCTCCCCAAGCCCCTCTTTGAACACTAATGATCCAGGACTATCTAAGGCCAGTCAAGCAAGGCTCCTGTGTCCCGGCATGACCGGCATTAGCTTGAGTGTTACGTTTATTCATCTCATAATTCTCTTAAAAGCAGGGGTCATAAGGTCAGAGGCTTGTTTCCTTGCAGTCTTCCTCATGCATGCTAATCCATATCCAATTGTTTGGAGGAGGCAGTCTTTTCTTAAGCTTGATCATCGATACAGAACGAAGAGTTTGTGAGGCGAATGTGATCGACCTCGGCACACAAATGGTGCAAATCTCAATAAAACATTTATTTAACAAAAACAAAGTGGCTGGAGTGTAGCAGTGTTTGCACATGCTGTGGCCAGTTTGGCCAAAAAAAAAAATCTAATCAAACTTAAATACAGACTCAAATTCCTCCTTCAGTTGTTTCTCATTTACCTGGCCTAATACTGCATACATTTCTCATATTGAACACAATGCCCAGTTTTAGAAAACTTAATTACAGTTCAGTGTTATAATACATTTACAAGTGCAGATTTAAAGAAAGAAACAGCTGGTATTTCTATGTCAACAAAGAACAAAAGTAGATGTAACTAATGAAACATAAACAGTGGTTATAGCTTCCACAAAGAGTTTGTCTAGGTGAGGCACGCCCAAGCAACCCTCCTTGTATAATTGTTTTTATACACAACAGGGTAATTAGGATTCTTTACACAAGTCATCATAATGACTATGATAAATGTCAACATCACACACAAACAAACAGCTCTTTTATGAACCCCACTACGAGCACACTTCCTGGAACGTGTGTGTGTCTGTAGTTTGAGGGCTGTGGGTTGGATGAATGGGATAAAGGGGTGGGGGTGGGGGGGTATTTATTAAGATGATATGTATGTAACATAAGCGCTTTGAAACATGTGACTCTATGATGCTCTTCAACATACACAGACAGTATTCCAAGTGTCCCACTATAAACACATAACACACCTTTAAACACTGTAATCCATGAGATTTATTGTGAAACATACAAAGAACTGCATCGCAAAGCAAAGACAAATAAAAGGACGTAACTAAATAGAACAACACAAAGTCCCTGTTTGAGAGGCAGCACAGTCTCAGCCCAGAGGAAGCCTCTCTTCAGCATAGGACCTCTACTCACCCCAGCCTGGTGCTTGAAAACTTTTGAAAAGCCAAATCCTTTCCTAGTTAATTCAAGGGTTATTATGCTGTGAGAAGGGCTGTTCCCACAGGTATAATTCATTTAATTCAATGTTACTTAGAATATCAAAAGGTTAAAGTTAAAATGCCTTTTTTAAAAGTAGGTAGAATCAAATTTAACAGACATAAAATGCTCAAATAAACATGTAAGGAAAATACTTCAAAAAAAAAGTTTTACCCAAAGGGAGACACTGTGTGAATTCTCAGTTAGATAATATGAACTGGCGAAAGGTCTGGTCATGTTTTAAACAAATTCTCTTAAAACTTTTAAATAGTATTCATCTATGTAACACCATCATTTCTCCTCTACACCGGTGTCATGGAGTGATATAGAAAAAAATGTGTTTAAAACAAAAGCATCATGTCTGATGAAGGGCGAGGACCAGAAACGTGACATGTGGTGATCATTCTCATTCAAAAACAGATTCTGGTTTGCAGACTTAGTCTTTCTCTATCCAGCACCCAGTACTCAACTTTTCAGATGTTTTTGTTAAAAAAAGTGGACTTTCAATAACAATGATACCTAAAGACATCATCACTGAATTTAAGAATGTAAAAACAAAACCTTAAGTGACATTACAAATCACACTTTGTTAAATTAAACATACGTAAAGAAAAACTTGTTTACTTTGTTTATTACATTTTAACTTAATGCATATTTGAAGTATTTAACTTGAATTATGTTTGGAGTTAAGTTAGTCACAATTGTTGGTTTAATCGTATCTCTGTTGTTTGTTTACTGATTGTCCTGACTGCAAACTATTAATAAAAACAAGGAAGTAGCTTGTAACTGCATGAACCTAGCCTAGATTCTCAAGAAGAGATAAGTGCCAGCAGGAGGTGAGCATGAGGGCAAGTGCAAACCAGCTCTCCTACATGACAGCAGCAGGAGTCCTGTGTTCCCATTCTTTCCTCAGCTCCCTTCCCCCTTAGAAGCTACCTCCCCGACTTGAAACAATTCAATGATTGTGTGGTCCCTCCACCCCCACTGTTTTTTTTTGGGGAGAAAAGTGGAGCTGCATTGATGTGGTGGTGGGGAGTGGGAGACAGGATATTGCATAAGCTTCATTGACCCACAGTTTAGTTTAGTGAGACAGCTGGATTCGGTTCACTTCCTCACGGTTCTTGTCCTGTCAGGTTTTCTCTGTTTTTATTCTAAGAGTGTTTTATAGGGTTGATGTTTTATAGTTCATAACTCTCAAAGCTTATTGGTTTGTACAAGTTTCACAAGAATCATCATTATTCATTTATTAAAATCTGCACAAAACAGATCAGGGTGTTGAGGTTGAGACAACAATAAAACAGACACAACCGCTATCATCAAAAGAATACATACATGTGAGAACAAGGTTAAATATTAAAAGGTTACGCTGCAGAATTCACAGATAAATTGATAGAAAGAACAAAAGGAACATTGTTTGATGTAAAATCCATAAATCGCCTCATTGATTTTACTAAAATCGTCCTATAGTTTTTCAGAAGAAAGTATGTCGGGAATGCATCTTACAAACACTCTTTGAATTGTCATTGTTGTACATTTTCCACAGCTGTCAGTGTGTATTTCATTGTGCAACATCACGTTTGTTCTCCATAGAAAATGCTGCTGAAAAAGAACTGCGGAGGGAAAACACGGACTATAAAGATTCGGGTGAGTTCATTTTCATTCCACTTTTTCCTGTCAGTATTCAAAACTCCATTGTTGTATTTTAATGTGATGAAAGCAAACAATTCATAGCATGTTGTTCATTGTTGTCAAAAAGAAAAGTTGTGACCATTTCAATACACACACACACACACACTTACATGTACACAGCCATTCTTTTTATGAAGACCCATGATAGACGGTGTAGATCAGGGTGTTCATTACAGCAGCTATAAGGTTGCAAGTTTGCTCGGCCTCCTGTGAACAGCCTGGCCTGTCCTGTCGCCAGCACCTTGATGTCCATCCAACTGCACACTGGGACAGCATCTGGCTGCAGAGCTTATTCCCATGCTCTGCAAGCAACAGTGTCTGAGACGCCTGAACCTCTGATAGCACTGTGTGAGGTTGGCTGACATGGGAAAAATATGACATGTTTTTCTGTCTATAAAAAGATAAATAAAGTCTTATCGTCCTTCCAGTAAGAAGAGTATCCGGATAGTGATGTAAGCCTGATGGTCCATTAGTTTAGTTTAAGAATATTGTGTATTTACAACATACATGCAAACACAGGACATCAGGGAGGTCTGCAAGGTCAGCTGAAGCTAACGGCTAGCTCAGTTTCTCTGAGCAGGATTCTTCTGTGTTCGTCGATCAGATCACAAGGTCACGAGGTCATCCACTACAAAACAAATGAACCCAGTGATTAAGGATGGTTTTATATTAGAGACCCGGGCCGGATCCAAGTATGCTTGACCCCAAAGTCCAGTTCATTTGATCAGTGTGAACACAAATGTACCGTACTCAAATAGCGAGCCCCTGTCCGCTTGAAGAGGTGGTCTCGAGCACGATTCATGTGTACTTGAATACGGTCTGCAGGAGATGTGAACGCATCCGTTTGACCAGGAACGATGTTTACTGTAATGGCTGTACCAGCTAACAGCTAGCCACATTTAGCCCGTCATGTTTGTTTACTCTGAAATCACAGCTGACCGCGCGAGGTTACACGTTGTGATAGTCGAGACTCTGGTTGTTGGTGAATGAATCTGTTAGTGTGTGGCGTGCTGAGTTGACACCACACACTATGAGATCTGAACTGTTCATCGGTCAGGATTGTTGTCATGTGTGGGGTCTTTTACATTTTCAAAATCGTTTAAGATTTTAAAAAAATCATGTAGTGTGTTCCAGGCATAAGCTGAACTGTAGAAGTGGACACATAAGAGGGTCGTTGTTGAGGTCTCAGAAGTAACAAAAACATCAACAGTTAGCAGGAAGGACTCACTCCACGAGTAGTCATCATGGTTGTTGCTCCTTCTTTCTCTGTTTTGGTGGATTTGAAAAACCAACTTTGTGCATACTGCCACCTGCTGTATTGGACTGTGTACGTACACAAGTGTACTCAGGTACGGGACGATGTTACTAATGTGAACACAGACCAGCGAGTGGGAAAGGGGAGAGGGGAGCAGTCATACTCAGCCATGGTATGAAACAATCAAGCCAAATGTGAAAACGCCCTAAAACTGATTAAAAACAGAATAACCACTTTCATTTAAAAAAAATAAGAAAATGTTTTCTTGTATGTCCACTTGCAGGATGTCAAGGTATGTGGCTAACAATGGTCAGGTTTATTAATTCTAAACATTTTCAAGTCCAATAGCTATAATCATTGAACTGGTTAAAAGAGCATCTTAAAAGTGTTAATGAGGTAACTTTTTAAGTTTTTAGTTGATTTGTTTATTGTTTCGTGGACAGTCCCCTTTAATTTACTGTACAGTAAAAGAAGCAGCTTTAGCCTTTACGGCTAATTTCCAGCTGTAGTCCCCGGCCAGTTGTCAGTAGACAAATACAATCTCTCATACAAATTACAAACTACAGACCGACTTGCTTTTGCAAACAACATTCTAATAACTGTTTACTTCAGGGATACTTGAACACGTAGAAAAATGTGCTCCCTTCTTTCTTTCTTTCTTTTTTTTGTTTGATCTCTTGATCTCTCTGAACAACCTGTAATAGCACAGCTTTCCACTTGTCCCATTAGTGCACAGTTACTCTCCTAAATAGCTCACAGAAGTTATTTTCCTGAGACTGGGTGTGTCCTGTCTGATCTTCCTGTAAGGTGGTTTTTTAAAATGCTGTCTCCAATGATCATCCACCAACTCTCATGCTCTGTACGTTTGCATGGGTTGATGTTGTTTGTAGTGGTAAAGGAAGGCATGTTGGAGAGAGGCGGCTGGAACAAGCCTGGGCAGCTTGGCACGGAGCGTTATACTCCAGAAGGATGCACAGTGTGGTGAGAAAAGTGACGTTATTATCACGTTGTGTGGGCTACGTGTCAATGGAACCTTATCACACACTTGTTTATGTACACACACACACACACACACAGACTGTAACAGCATCCAGCCCTCCTTATAGGTATGTATCATCAGTACAAAAAATAAACTGAGAACAATCTCTTAGAGTAGTTTAGGATGAACAAAGTGAGCTGTGATGAGTGATGGAGCTGAGGAGGAGGAAGAGGAGGAGGAGTGTTGTGAGCCCTTCCCGTGTGGTGTATTTCCAGAGATGAAGTCATTTTCCGTTTATAGCCCGTGCCGGCTGCTATCTGTTTAACTCTGCTGATACATCAAGATATTTCTCATTATACTCTGTTCTTGCTGGCGTAGTTTGGTAGTGTTGTTGTCCTCGTCAGTGACGTCTGTGGGTTTTGAGTATTTTCCAGTTCAGAGACTGTTCCTGAAGCCCAGTACACAGCAAGTTTTGAGGATTGTGTTGACTCTGTGAGCCACTCATTCTGTGCTGCACTCCATCCAAAACTTTCTTTGTTGCATCTTCTCTCCTGCTACCTCTCTCTCCCTCTTTTATCTGTCAGCCCCCCCCTCGATTTCCTGGCCCAGATCCAGAAGAGACACTGGATCTGGATGGGGCCCCGGCTTTGAGACTTGTTTCAAGCATGAGAGTTGTTACGGGAGTTGAGGAGGTCAATGGTAGTGGTTGTGTGTGTGTGTAGAAGCAGTAGGAAAACACAGCTTTGGCCTCTGCTGCTGCTGCTGAGGCTCCCCCAACCCTCCCATTTATGGGTCCGGAGGTGAAGGGAGAGTGGGGGTGGAGGAGTGATGAGAGCTTCCCAGGCTGCAGCAGGCGCAGAGTGATGGCATCTGGTTTCAACCACTGTAAAAAGAATGGTTGGAGAGAGAGATGAAGATTGATTGAGGTGAGGGAAATGGTGCAGATATGGAGAGAGGAGGGAGAAACTGAATTGAAGGAAAATGCATAAATGCCCCTTTGATTTCTGATTGAGGTAAAACTACACGGCTTGGATGTTGAGTTAAAGCATTTCTGGTCGGACTATTAACAGATGTTAAAGGAATAGTCTGAAATATTGGGGAATCAGCTTGTTTGTCTTCTTGCAAGAGTTTGATAAGAATACTGGTACAACCCTTTTGCCTCCTGGATGAATTTGTGGCTAGACCTGATTAATAACTACCAGAATTACATTATGAATGATACAAGATAGTCCCAGACTCATGGCAGGCAAACAGTTTGAAAAGGTGCAAAACAAGCATGAAAACATGATCACGACAAACCTACTGACACAATGACAGACAGTGTGGAGACAATCGCAGACTCAGAGGTGGTGCTCAAAAGACAGTCCTTTAATCCAGGCAGAGGTTTGGTACACAGGTCGACAGATAAACAACAAATCCAGAGGGTTAGGCAAAAAGGCAAGAGTCATCCACGAAGAGATAAATACTAATTGCTGGGACAAAAGGTACTTTGGGAAACAAATACAAACTAGCAACAAGAGGGAGAACACACTGGGATTAAATACACAGACAATCAGGGAACAGCGAGACACAGGTGAGGGTAATCACAAGGCAGGAACATGAGGCGCAGGATCTGAAAGACAGAGACAAGGGTGAATACAAAAACACAACATAAATAACAAAATAATTAGCAATAACCACAAAAACATGACCTTATGATTGTTGGAACCTCTGTCAACTTTCACTTTTGACTGACATAGACTGACTTTCACCTCAAACAGAGAAGAGATGTAACAACACTTTTTATACAGATTCTAAGAATGGATATATACCCATACCAGTGGAAAACCTAAAAGAAAAAGAGACAGCTCAATGCAAAAACAAAATTACTTCATCCAGTGATTTTCCATGCAAGGTGGAAGCAATCCAAACTGAGCCATCCCAGGTGTCAGTAAAGCACAAGCTGTTGTAATGTCTATTGTTTTTGAAGGTCCTAAAATAATTGGTTTCTGCTGAGTGAGTTGATTTTTGTAGGGCTTACAAACTATAGATATAGAACCATTGCATTGACTGGCGTCCAGTCCTGCATTTTAGACTGTACTGGAAGAGTTTCCAGTATTGGCATTGGTTTCATTAATGGAACTCAAATTCAGAGGTTCTCGTTCAAAGCCCCCTAAAAACCTTGGGGCCTTGATCAAGCATCCAATAGAGCCAGGAACTGTAATCCATCTATGCACTGAACATCTGTTTTCCTCAAGCTTCCTACAAACAATCTTAAGTTTATTGAAAGCCACACCGTGCAACATGTTGGGAATGACATTCATGTACAGTGTGCTATGAGAAACCTTGTGAATTGTAGGCTGCAGACAATTCAACATGCAGTGTCATTGGCATCATCAGTGTGCGTCAAATAATCAGGCGGAGGTTGCCATGGCGGTCAGCAGAAAGCGAGTTCGTAGTGGTGTTCATGTGCATAGAAGAGTAGGAATAGAAAAAGGTGGATACGGTTGTGGTAAGGGAATAGAGACAAACTCGGGATGCCAGTGTTGCAGATGATCGACCTAAATTTGTGGTAGGCTATCTTTGGTTGCAGGACTGTGAGTTTGGTCATCTTTGATGCTCTCTCAGTACGATGTAGCACCACTGTTTTGGAGCCACGACTGATCATCTCTCGTCTGGGACATTGGAAAAATGTTCTGTCTGTACCCGTCATTAGAGATGAACAATGCATTTAACAGATGGCTGGCAACAGTGTGTAAACTTCTCAAACATGCTGATTGGAGCCTAAATTAATGATAAACAGGACAACATTCCTAACACTACTTAATCTCTAAAAAGTCAAACAGCCTCAGCTCCAGGACATAGTGAGAGATTCCTGCTGTTTTTGATGTCTGCACATGTTAAAGGCCCTGTTCTTCTGAGACCTGTACTTTGTTTGGCTCTTCTGGGCCTTAAATGTCCATCACACTGCAGATGTGACCACAGAAAAAAAACTCTGTGGGGATTACTTGCATGGACTGGGAGCCATTCTGATGTACGACTCCCCCTCAGTTGGACTGACTGCAGCTACCATATGGAGAACTTCTTAACACAACACATCTATCAAGTTTTTTTTACTACTTCTTGGGTTTTCCTCTTCTCATTCTTTGCCTGAGCATATAACTATGAATGGAAGAGCTTGTTTCCACATTTGTAGATAAAACAGCTCCACGTTGTTTTGGGAATTGTTGCTGTGTAACTGCTGCTCAGTACTGAATCCCTTAAGATGTTGGCTGAAGTCATAGCAACACCTGTAGCCTCACATGCTCTGTTAATGGGGCTTATTTCATAGGCAGTGATGTCATTGGATACTTTCCAGAAGCAGTCACAGAGATGCATCTTTTTTTAGTTCTCACAAAAAGGTGTTTGGTAATGGATACCAACGAGAATAAAAAGCTTTTTATGCAAACATGCACTTAAGTTTTTTTCCGTTGGATCAGCTCCTAATTAAAATGAATCCGTCTCAAGGTCCTAATCTTTCTCAGTCCACCTTCTCACAAACTCCACTCCCCCTCAGCAGGGCTCCGGAGAAAGTGCTGCCTCACTGCCAAGTCCAACAAAGCCATTTCCTGTCGTTTCCTGAAGGGAGGAAAATGACCAGGGCTAATTTTAGAAGGAGGGCTTGTAGAACCAGAAAAGGGGAGGTTCTGCTCATTCGGGGGGGGGCTGCTTTGTGTTCGGAAAAGCATTTATATCACCCCACACCCAGGTCAGCAGGTAATCCTCACCGTTTCCATCTGACAAAGCTGGATTAACCCTACGTCTGACAGGTCTGTTGCTCAGCAGGACCACTCGCAGTGTTTGGCAAAGTGTAGTGACATGAGCTTCCAATTGCCCCTCGTCAAATGAAGCGTCACTACACTGAAGAAATATGTAACTCAAAGCTACACTAACAATACAAAAAATAACCTGTTTACAATGCACCAGCTTTATTGGATGCCAACATATTGACCATGGTTCTCCAGTTTCTGTTCTAGTTTCAGCTGTTTTTTAAATATTTGAACAAGTATGTTTTACTTCCTACACTGAGTCTAATACCTCAACTGTAGTATTGTCCATGACTGAGAAACTCTCTGATAACAGCGCTATAAAATGATTACCTACCACGATCACTTTATTTATAATAGAGGTTTACAACTGACCCTGTATGAAGGTGAATGATTACCCTCAGAGCTGTATTTATGGTGTGCTACAGGCAGGGAAGTTGACTTTAAAAACGGCAAAGCATCTTGAAACAAACTAAAATAAGCGAGATATTTGATACTGATACTGAAGAAAGTTTTAGAAACACAATTTGTAGCAATCAAATAAACATCTTTAAATTGTGAAACAGGATGGCTGGCATGTTTCCATGCTTTGACTAATGTTACACTCTCTGCTAGCACTGCACTTGTTTGCTAACATCTCATTATGACTACCTAACACCATAGTTTTTATTTGTGCTCTTCAACAGCATTAGCCAATGACAGGCACAATACACATTAATACATAGAGGATTATAGTTTTGGAGAAGTGAACTTTTGTTGGGCAATTGTTACATTCCCCTATAAACAAAACCATGACAGGGCTCGCAAGTTGGGGAACTAACTAAGAGCTGAACTTGTCACAAAAAGGGCGAAAAAATAAATTGGGCCTTTGGTTTCTGAGAGGTGGTGGAAAGAACACTGGCCCCCACTGATTCTATCAAAATGATAGATAAACAAAAAAATTGACCCAACACAAGAGAAGTTGGATTCACTGGACAGAGTAGAAATAGGATGGAATAGAAAGAAGCCAAAAGAAAAATATCACTTTAAACAGAGTCAATTCAGAGTTTCACTCAAACAGAAATAACAGAACGCTAACTGATGGTGTTGACTCTCTGGAGACACACAACCAGCTGAGCAGGGAAACCCCAACCTCCCCATAAAGCCTCCCAGCTCAGCTGATTATTATCAGCCATCAGCTGAGGGAGAACATCAGAGGTGCACTCAATAGCTCCTGATGAGCAAGGAAACGTGGGACCTACATTCTTGGGAATCTGTCCTTAACACTATTACAAAGTGATTTTTGAACATCAACCGATGCCCAAATACAGCATAGGCATTTCTTTTATTGGTATTGGAACAACTCTACCTCTGAGAAATGTTGTTTACATTGAACTCTTTTCTCTCTCTTTCTTTGTCCTCAGAATCTGACAGGAAGTCGTCCTCCGCCCAGATACACCTACGATCCGTCCATCTTCGCCTTCCGCTCCTTGAGCACAGTGCCCCCCTGCAGCCCCCTCACCCCTTCTGAGGATCCACCCTGCTCATAAGAAAAACCACCCACCTGTCAGATTTTCTTCTCTACCCATTATGTCATTCCTGGACAGCTGCTTTTTTCATTGTGGCTTCTGCAGCGAGACCGAGAAGTGGCCGTTAAGACTGCTAGATTAAGACGCTTGTTTGAAGTCTGAACTTTTTGCACACTCAGGTAACCTCCCCCTGACCCTCTCATCGCTCTCCACTTAAAACAACGGGAACATTTGGAGGATAAAATGGCCTAAACATTTCTGCAGATACTTCAGGTTTTGCTTATGTATCTCTGAAGTTTGATCCTGTGATTGGAGGAATAATGGACTCAAAACAAACCTAGGCTGTGGACCAGACGTGGAACAAAAGGGACAAGGCCAACCAGTTTATTTAAAATCTGGATTTACTTCTGGTTTGATCAATCTTCAAGGGAAATAATGCATGTAAGACAATCAAATGGTTCCAAGGTTTCCTTTGTGATGTAATTTTTGGACATCCTGTAAGGTTCTTGGTAACTTTATATTCTAAACATGGCGAGGCGTCAGATATCCTGTTATCATTGAGATAAACGTAAACTCTCTGCTCAAGCTACTACTTTCAATGTGTCATTGAATATGCAGGTCATGACTGAGTTATAACAAACATGTATGACATGTATGTAGGTGAATAGTTGACCTTTGATAATGTACGTTTCTTATTGAACTTGTCACTTTTAGTCCAGGTCAAAGTGAAGTACTTGTATCCTCTTTCCTTGCATGAATTCCGCTGTTTTGCAGAAAGAGAGGTATATGGAAATAAGGAAGTATGAATATAGTTTGCTGCACATTTGGCAAAAGTAACTGGTGCTATGTTATGCATAGCCTTTTTTTGTAGTGTGCCATTTTTTCCAATATTGTACCTCATTACGTTGTAGGTAGAAGAGGACCACTGGTGTATTGAAGACATCCCAGTGCTTTCTTAAGATCTCTTAATGCCTTGAAGTCACATTCCTGTTGTATCAAATGAAACTTGAGGGGAGTTTTTCGGCTCCTGTAATGAGCCCGTCCAATGATTAAACATGATGTCACCACTGAAACTAAGATTTTGCCGAAGTGAATGTAACATTGTGACATGTTTTGGTCCATTGTTGCACAAAATTAAACAATAAACGCCCTGTGGCCTCTTGTTTAGGAGGTGATTTTTATTTGAATCAGTTTACAGTATATATACAATAAAAGATAAACCTAGGCTAAACCAGGAGTGCACTAGCAGAAATCCAGGAAATCCTCAGAAGAACCAAGCGGGGCCTGCCTGTTTAAATCAAGCAGCAACCTGGGGGTTTGAAAAGTGGAGCTAATGCGGAAGTGTAAAATCCAGCAGTTTGTTGAGTTTCTGCTTGAGGCTGGCTCCAGGAGCCCCGGAAGTCACAAACACACCACAGCCAAAAAAGCAGTTTTTACAGCAGAATTAACATGTTTACAGCCTGGTTTAAAAAAAACATATTGGTCTGATTAGTTATTGTCATAACTGGCACACACTGTGCAGGGGGTGGATTTCTTAATAACACATCCATTTTGATTTTAAGAACGATACGTGTTATCCATAGTTAGGCGTGTAGATGACCTGCTTAAAGGGCCAGCGCGATGTAGCGGTTTGTCAAGAGGCTTAAAACCCGCCTCAGCTCTCAGCCTGTCGTTAGGCTGACTGAAAGTTAGGCTGAGACAGGATTTCCAGCATGGCGGCTGCTGCCAATGAGTCTCTGGAACCCCCTGCAGGACCAGATGGGTGATGTCACTTAGGCTTCATCCATTAATATTCACAGTCTATGGTGTAAACGATCCAAATCATTTGAAACTCCACATTTCCCATTTAGACGTTCAGGTTGTTTCAGATGGTGATTGCAGACGGGTGAGAAATGTTTCTTAAACATGCTTCAGTCATTACTAAACCAAACTTAAACCTCCGAAGACAGTAAAAACATTGAAATAGATCAATCAAAATATATACGGCACTTTGATAGATGCAAATACCATCAAATTGGGTCAACTTCAATTTATTTAGATGAAAAAAAATCAGTTTTCATTAGAAATGAGATCTTAAACATGTCAGTTTCTCACCTTTTGTCTCCCTTCTTTGCTCTCCACATATCACTGAGAGTTCTTACATCCCCACATACAGGACTTTGTTCTCTACAGCTATGAAGGAAATGTGTTTTTAATGAATCAACAATCAGTTGAAGACACATTGAATAACTTGTCCCCATGTGACGTGTACAGTGTAGTCCTCTGCTGAGGCTGTAACCCTCCCAGCTCTGAGCCCATTATGACCCCTGCTGCTGCTTTAATAGTATGTGTCCTGCTGACTTACAGATGATCCCATCAGGCAGGATCTAATATTAGACACATTTTGTCTTCTGTACTTGGATGTTCAGCAGCTTCATTATCGTCTTAAATGCTCTCATTCATCAGTATTTTCCAAACAAAACGACAACGGGTAACTTGAGTGATATCTTTGCAAATTCCAGAATTGGATACAATTATATTTGGAGCAGATTTTCCAGAGCCAGTAGCCTTATAATGAGGTAACGGGATATGGTGTTAAGAATATACCTGTCAACCATAAAGCCTGTTAAGAATGATTGCACTTAGTCGAAATGAAAAAGTGCATGCATGGCCCCTCAAAGTTTTATCTGCGGAACATCGTCTTCAGTGTGCAGGAGAAGGATTTGTGAGGTGGAAGGACAGAGGACTCCTCTCATGGGTTCGGGGCAGAGAGGAATGCTTTCCATCAGTGATTAGTAGGTCAGAGCACAGAACATCACAGCGAAGATCTGCAGCCAAGACCACAAGCCTCTTTGTGCCAGATCATACCCCTGAGAAACGCTCTTTGTGTGTGTGTGAGAGAGAGCGCCTGAAAAAGAGGGAAAGAAACTCTGACGTCAAGTCTGGGTTTGGGTGTGAAGAAGCCCCTGAAGCTGACGCCAAGAGAGGACAGACAGCTGGAAAATCAAGGGGAAAGCAAAAAGGAAAAAACTTCAAGCAGCTTGCAGGCTATTTACAGACACTTTTATTATACATTTGTATCACAAAATACATTTCTTTACTTTGTGTTTTGGGTTAAGACGACAGCAAAGAGGGTGGAAATATGGCAGGAAACCAACAGAACAGCACTGAGTGGGATTTCAGAGTGAGGAATCCTGCGCGCACACACACACACACACACACACACACACACACACACACACACACACACACACACACACACACACACACACACACACACACACACACACACACACACACACACACACACACACACACACACACACACACACACACACACACACACACACACACACACACACACACACACACACACACACACACACACACACACACACACACACACACACACACACCTCGCTCATAAAGACAATCTTGTTAAAAAGAGAACTTCGAGAAGGTTGGGCTGTGTGTAAGTGTGTGTCATCGTAGACTCACACACACACACTCCACTTAGCTTGAGTCATTATCAGCTTGCGTTTCATCCAGTAAGCCATCCAAGTGTCCAGATGGTCAGAAAAGCTGCTTCAATGCTCTCCCTCTCTCTCTCTCTCACTCCTTACTACACACTCTGCTTTGGAGGAAAAGAAAAGGTGATGCCAGCGATCGACTCAAGCCAAATAGGGGAGCGATGCAGATTGGATGTCAGGTGGACTTAACTGCAAGAGGAGCAGCCAGAGAGCACAAAGCTGAATTCAGATCAGTGACCACTCCCGCTCTGTCCCTTTCTATTTTCTGCCTGAATGATATAGCATACAAATAAAAAGAACACAATTCATGTGCTTCACATCTCTGTTATTATCAGTGTGGAGGGGGGGGGGGGGGGAGTGCCAGAAGGCTGACTGCCCAGTGCTCTGAGGGGGGTAATTCCCCAGGCTGCACACTTTAATGTTAAGTGGAATAGATTGCTTTCCCAGAATGCAAATATCCCCCAAATGATAAATAAAAGAAGCAGATAGTATCTCTGCAAGTCCCGGTGTGTCTGAGTCTCTTCTTGTCAACACAAACACACGGGGACTGGGATGGCTTTGAGGGGGGTTAAAGGTTAGAGTGTAGTAGACAGGAGGCTTTTGTGTTGCAGGTATTATCTGCTGTATAAAAGCTGATGGAGTCGACACACGAGAGCTCAATAGCCGTACTTGTCGTTGAGGTGTGTGCGGCCGTCTCCGCTCTGATCTGTGAGGGAAGAAAAGCGAGATTCAGCACCCCAAAAAAAAGAGACCCAGACTGACCTACAAACACAGGTTGTATTTACATGTCTAAAGAAAGGAAATTAAACAAACCACAAACAATCACAGTCCCAAAATGATGACATAGGGTTATCAATTCAGAGCCTGAATCAAGCTCAGCCTGGCAGCTGTTTTAAAGTGTGTTTGTATTTAAGCTGATCATCTTTAACTCACTTTGATCTTGATTGACTTCCTATGAAAGTCTTTTTACCTTCCCTCATTATGTCTTGAATGAACACTTAAAAATGATTTGATGGGGTGTTACAGGATCGTACTTGCTTCTCAGATGCAGAAGAGTGTACATCAACATTAACTCATGAAGTAAAGAAGCTCTTCTTTCATCGTGGAAGTCTGAGTATGTCACTGGGTTGGTGTCAAGATGTCTTAAGTACCCACATATTTACTGCATTGACATTTCATTTGTGAAACTCATTGGGCTGAAAAACTCCACTTCAGAAATCAATTGGTGATGTAACCAAGTTTATGTCCATATTTTATACAGAGTATGTTTTAGACCTGTGAAATCCTTTCTTTTAGAGCTAAGAGTGAGATCATTCAGATACTTTACCTGATGGAGGAACCCAGACACAATAATCTGGGTCATCTTCTGGATACTGTCCTGAGAGCTGCACTGGTGGCTGTGGAGAGAAATCAGGAGGAAATTCAACGAGTAATTACATTGAAGTGTGTTTTTGTTCTTATGCAGAGGAATGGAGTGAGGATTTACCCTGCTGGGACCGATCGCTTTCTTCTTCACGTTCTTTTTAGGTCTTGGCTCTGCTGCAGGCTCTGTGTCAGCTTCTGCCCTGGACTCTACAGACACATAGGTTTAGATCGTCACAGGGGATTAATACCACTGACCAGTTGTTCTGTATGGAGCATAGAGTGAGAAGGAAACAGAGAACCTACCTGAACTGGACGGGACCACAGTCTTGTTCTTGCTGCTGCTGATCTGAGGAAGCTGCTCCACTGTTTCTGCAGACTCATGACTTCTCCTCTGTTTGTGGCTTTGCTCTGTCGTATAAACAAAACAACAACAAGTTAATAAACAACCTTCTTGGGCAATGGTGGCTGAGTGGCTAGGGTGCGCGCCCTTTGTACAGAGGCTACAGTACAGTCCTCGAAGCGGACGGCCTGGGTTCAAATCCGACCTGTGTATCCGACATGTTATTCCGCCTCTCTGTCCCTGATTTCTGACTCTATCCACTGTCCTTTCTCTAGAATAACTGCGTAAAAGCCCAAAAATATATCTTAAAAAAGCATCCCTCTAAATCAGTGGTTCTCAACTGGTGGGTCGGGACCCAAAAGTGGGTCGTGGAGTTGTTTTCAGTGGGTTGCAAAAATATGCCTGGGGGGGAAAAAGGTAGAAAAAAAATCACTTTTAAAGATGTTTGTTTTCTTTCATCTCTTTGGTCTGTCACATGTTTTGTACCGTCTGAGGTCCAAACTGCACAATCATTCATAAAACAAATCTCATTAGTTGAAAAATATCTGATATTTGGGTCACAGTTTCTTATTAAGGAGAAGGTGGTGGGTCCTGAGGCTAGATCAGTTGAGATCCTCTGCTCTAAATCAATCATGACATTTCTAGAAGTTCTCTTTTTTTTTACATTAGTGATGTCACTGACTGGTCGAGGTAAAAGCTGAATAAATTATTCTAATTTGGATTTTTTTAGTGCCACATTACACACAAAAACATCTCAGGACGCTTATGTTAGCAGAACTAAAAGTACTCTTTTAATTTAATTTACAATTACAAAACCTAAAAAAAACAGATTTAACTTTTCTGGATGTCCAAAAAAAACACAAGTGACCCAAAAATCCAGGTGACTTTTTCCAGTTTTTTCTTAACTGAACTAAAATGATATGGCAGACAGTGAAGAGTGTGCTTTTTGTATAACAGGTGTACTGCCCCCTAGTGGCATGGGATGCTTCTGAGCATACTGTGGTAACTTGAGGCAGCTACACACACAGAGGACTGAGGACTGCACTTTCCCTCTTTAACGTCTACTTTTAAAAAACGTCTTCAAGGTTCTCATGGCTGTTACCTTTCTGCTTCTGGGACTTTGCCGGCCGCCGTCCTGTGGGAGAGCCGTCTCCAGACGTGGATGCACTGGACTCTGCGCAGTCAACATTCATGTCGGTAATATCTTCACAGTCTTCATCGTCGTTCCCCTTGGCTTTCTTCCCCGCCTCCTCCTCCTCCTCCTCCTCCTCTTCTTCTACCTCCTCTCCAGCAGGTGCAAGCTCTTTCATGATGAACAGCTCCGCGGGCAAGTTGGCGCGCTTAGGAGGCAACTTCTACAAGAAGGGAAGAACACATCAATAACAGAGAGAAAGGAAGGTGGAGGAAGCAGGAAAAAAAGAAATGTTTTCTTGAGGAATGAAAGAGTCCGACTGACAACACCTACCCCAATGGTGCCCGTCTTCAGTTTGAATTTGCGTCCTCCTTTCATGGCTCCAAACAGCGGCAAGGTCTTCTTCGGCTTCTCTTGCTCCGAGCTTCCACTATCACAACAAAACATCGGTTTTAATGTGGCGTCCCACAGGGAAGGTTTCAAAGATGCTCTACAACACCTGACCTTCTATTATTTTAATGGTACATATGGTGATATTTCATCACTTTGGGTAATTGCTTAGCACGACCCTGAATGTGGCCGTGTGTCTAACCTCGGCACCAGCGAGGGCATCTGGGCGGGTCGCGTCAGCTCGACCAGTTTGCGCAGCCTCTGAGCCTCTTTGCGCAAGTCCGCCACGTGCACGTGCAGCTTCCTCCGCTCCACGGCATCCATCGTCGCCTCTTTGCGCACGGCGGTCATGAAGGCGTCCAGCGAGTCCTCTGTGGAGGAGCCGGAGGAGTCTTGAGCGGAGGGGGTGAAACATACGATTAACACGAGGAGAACATGGCATCTGTAGGTTAGGTAGGTAGAGCGGCATCATCTACCCACAGAAAACAAGAGAACACCCAGGTCATCATGACTCACCTCCTCTACCACCACTCAGCTTTTTCTGAGTCTCTGCCAGCTCTCTCTCCACCTCGGACAGTTTGGCCACCTACATGAAAAATCAAAAGCATGAGTTTAACAGCGGAAACCTACAGAATGTTTGACAATATGGTATACGTGCACTTGAACACACCTAACATCAAAGAGGGCTTTTCAGAGCCAGGTGAGATTGATTCTTGTGTTATTTTCAGCAGAAGGAGCAGCTATGTGAACCTGACAGACAACATCTCCTCCAGAGAAGAGACAGGCTGCTCGAGTGGAGTTTATGAGAGGAAATAATACTGCAGCAAAGAACCACAGAGAAGTGCTTTATATCGAAAGACAGTCGCGACTTGAATGTTAGATTTACAGATTTCACAAGAGCCTCCTTTCATCACATGTTGCTCCTGTTATTTCCATTTCCATCTATATTAAAAAGGAAATAATCTTCAGAAAATGTAAAGGGGTAATAATGGATTTGAAATGTGTCTCAAAATGTAAATTCTGGTTGGCGTTTTGTGTTTTGGATTTTGAAAATTTCAATTTCAAAGTACTTTGAGTTGTCTGTTGTATCTTTCATCACAAGAAGTACACTGATTTACACAAGTCTAGACAAGCAGTTTGAGTAGCATAGTTTTCTGTTTTCACACTCTTGCTGTGGTTCTACGACTGAAAGTGACTCCTAGGTTTGTCAGCTGAATCAGATATGTCCGTTTTATACATTTTTTAAAAACTTGTTGTACCTTTATCTTCTGTTCAGCGACACACAAAACTCCAGTCTATACCACCTCCTTTAATAAAGTTTTCTGAGTACTGGCAGCTCAAAGGACGCTGAAACATTCTGAGTCGACTGTTTACTTCTTAGTCACTGTGTTTTTTAACTATTTCATTTAACTGCATGAAGGACTTTATTCACTGGATATATCTTAATCTTTTTATGCAGCTTGGCTTGCAGACCCTGAAGCCCCACCAAAGAGGGTCAGAGAGTTTTCCATTTGAGTTTCATTCAATTAGAGTTTTTAATTTTAAAAACATAAACTGTGTTATAATTTGTTTTAACAGGATTTATTCACTGGATTTGTTTCTTTCAGAAAGCAGTAGAAACCAGGTCAAGTTTGTCTCCTGATTGAAACCTCTTAAATGATGAACTTTGAAGGCTTGCTCTGGTCAAGTTTGCAGCTGGATATGTCATTGCTCCTCCATTGCTCTGTGCATGATGTCAGTTAAAAGAAAAACTACAGAGGTTCCACCATGAAGTCTGACTCCAGACCAAAATATCAACCTTTGTTGGATCAGATTTGGTAGAGAGATCTACTGTCCCCAGATCCTCTTAGTCATTTTGGAGAGTGATCCAGATATCTCCTGGCACAATCATGAATGACATATTGTGGTTCTGAGTGAAACGTCTCAAAACTACTCGGTGGATTCACCATGCAATTCTACACAGATATTCATTTCCCCCTTAGGAAGTAATGCAATCGTTTTGGTGATCCCTTAACTTTTAATTTCCTGTCATCAGACTCACCACTGCCTCAAAACGTGAATTCATCCAAGTAGTGATGGAAACAGTTTAAGACTGAATACATCCATGTACAACGATCAGTCAACAGAGAGGAGCACAAGACAGTTTCTATTCCTACTACACAGTTACTTATATGTGAAATCAGCTCATCCTCTGTGCCTGCTAGTGATGTGTCGGTCATGAACGATTCTTTCAAAACGAACGAATCATCTGGGTGAACGAACTGAACTGAATCACTTAATGAAAAGAGTCGTTCATTTCTCAACTTCAGTTGCGCTCTCCTCTCTCTCGTCTCTCTCTCTAGACCGTAAGAGTCACTAACCCTAACCCTAACCCACGTTCACTGAACGAACTGAACGAGAGCTCCGCCTCCGAGTCCCTCTCTTCCTCTTCTTGTACTGAACGTACTGAACAGAACGGTCGGGGAAAATAAATGTAATTGTTTTAACAGCTTTCAGTTTGCAAACTGTGGCTTTATCCAACTAAATTCTCAGCTCATTGGTTTATTATTCACCACCGGCTGTTCTCAGTACGATCGCGAGCAGAACTAAACGTTCGGCCGTGTTTCAGTTTATTAAATTCTGATTCACAGACAGCTGCAGAGAAGTACTAAACGATTCAGTGAACGAATCATTTGAACGAATCACTTTACTGAACTGATTCTACTGATTCAGTACTCTGAAAAGAACTACTTTTCACATCACTAGTGCCTGCAGTGTGCAGGATTTAAATGGAAAAGGAGGTTGGACAAGTGAAAGTTGCATCAAATCGATAATGTGCATGAATGTTTCTTTTTAGGTTGTTAAACAGTCTTATGCACGTTCAAAATAAGAGCGTAAATAAGGTCAAAGAGAAGATTAAAGTCTTTGTGAATCAGTTGATCTTCACAAGTTATGTATTAAAAGCTCAGGATGTTTTTTTTTTTTTTTACCAATGACTCGTAGGTCTCAGGCCGCTCCTCGATCTTGCCCGCCTTCTTCATCCTCTCCTGCCTCTTCTTCTCCACGGTGCCGGTTCGATCCAGGAACGTGTCGTCATCGCTGTCGTAGTAGTCCTCATCTTCCCAGTTCTTCTTTTTCCGCTTACGGGACACTACAAACAGGATGTAGAACAGGAAACAAATATATCATAGCAATAAGCTGTAGCCTTTTCAGACTGTGTTTCAGAATACAGACAGGAAGTGGAGCACACACCTGCCTCCTGGCGCAGCAGCCCTCTGGCCTCCAGCATACGACAACCCTCCAGGCAGCACTGGATGGCTGCTTCCTTCTTCTTCCCCGTGACGGTTACCTCGGCTACAAGCTGTCGGCCCTTGGCGTCGTCCACTGGAAGCCTTACAGACAAATTAACGTCATACCTCCACACACAAAAAGCGAGGACATCTTTTCAATGCCTTTTGAATCATAAATCAGCTGACTTACTTTATCCTGCAGAGCCAGCTGCCATGGCTTTTGTCCTCATACTCAAACTCCAGCTCCTCTCCTGCAACAGAAGATGCCACAGCTGAAGTAAAAACAAACTAACAAACAAAACTGAAGAATAATAAAAATGCGTGGACCGTCACCTTCCCTGTCGTAGAAGCCCTGCAGAGCCTTCTTTGGGTCTTTCAGGTACGCAGCTTCCTGGTCCTCTTGGAACTCTGTTGAAAAAGGGTTTTCCTCGTTCTCATCTTCCTCTGGTGCAGCTTCCTCAGCTGCAGGGAGAAGACATGAAGACAACATGAAGATGTAAGTATGATGACACAGACGATAAAATAAGTCCCATGTGGATGTCATGTAGCTTCATCACTTCTCACTGTTAGATCATCTTCCTCCACTGGCTCCCAGTTACTGCTCGCATCAAATTTAAAACTCTGCTGCTCGCTTACAAAACAGCCACAAAAACGTCTCCTCATTACCTAAACTCTATAATCCAGGTCTACACTCCCTCCCGCCCACTACGCTCTGCCAATGAAAGGTGTCTGATCCAACCTTCACAACAGGGTCCTAAGACGCTGACTAGACTCTTCTCCTCTGTCGCCCCCCGGTGGTGGAATGAACTTCCAAACTCCATTGGATCTGCAGAGTCCCTCTGCACCTTTAAGAAAAAGCTAAAGACCCAGCTCTTTCATGAATACCTACTAACTTAATGATGATGGTCTCCATATTATTGATGATGATGATGGTAATGACGATGGTTTTTGTTTGATAACGATGACTTATAAGATGGTTTCTATACTGATTAGAGCTCTCAAGAACTGCCCTCAATGTTGTGCTTTGCCTCTGGTCACTTCCTGTCAGCACCTGTGTGTCCAATCAGACTCAAAGCTGATCGTTTGCTCTTACTGACATTGTTTCCTTTTTTCTAGATCCTTGCTGGTGTTGTTCTTACTCTCTGATGAACGTCACTTTGGAAAAAAGCGTCTGCTAAGTGAATTGTAGAGTTGTAGAAGAAAAGCTCACCCATTCCCCACGAGCAGCCCGAGTCATCTGTTGACTGTTTGCTCCGGCCCTTGTTGCTTTTTCCTTCATCACCATCCTCCTTCTCCTCCTCCTCCTCATCCTCCTTGTCATCATCCAGTCCATCTCCCAGCATCCTCTTCTCCAGCTCTGCCTTCTGTTTCTGGGCTCGCTCCCTCAGCTCCGTCACCGACAGCTCGGACTCCTCTTCCTCGTCAAACTCTGGACCCTGGCAGACGACAAAAGAAGGATGGAAACATGTTTCTTTTTAATAGAGATTGCCACTGAGGTTCTGAGGTGTCCAGTCGTTGAGCCTCCTGATTTACCTGCAGGATAAAAAGCCTCGTGCTCCCACCAAACTTCAGCACGTGTCCCACGCGCACTCTGATGAAGGTCTTTGGAGGGATCTTGTTCTTGTTCACCACGGTGCCATGTGTGCTGCCCAGGTCGTGGATGTAAAAGCCCCTCTCCTCCCCGACACTCTCCTCCCCCTCCTCCCCCCCGGCCTGCCTCCGGTACTGGAGCACGGCGTGGTACCTGGAGATGGAGGGGTGCTCCAAAGAAACGTCACAGACAGGTAAACGTCCAACCACGAAGTAGCTCCTCTCTGTGAGGGGCACGGTGTCCACTATGGTGCCGTTTTTCAAGATCTCCAGAGAATACGGAGCATCTGGAGCTGAGCCCCCCCAGGGCGGCTCTGCGTACGGGATAGGGGGGAATTTACCAGCTGGGGGACCTTTTGGGAGAACCCGGGGTTTAACTTCCGGTTTGGTTCTGACAGGAGCCTCAGTCTTTTCTTCTTCTTCTTCTTCTTCTTGGGCTTTTAAAGTGACTCTGTCTTCATTAACAGGACACGACGAGTCTTCACTAGTAGTATTCACAACGTCGGCTTTGTTGTTTTCTGTCAAACCTTTTGTTTGTGCTTCTGTTGTTGTGTGTTTGTTTGTGCTTCGTTTGCTGGTGAGGGAAGGAGCGGAGAAAAGAGTCGGCTTCTTAAAAGTGTCCTCTGTTTCCGGTTCAGCTACGTTCACGTCTTTCTTGTCTTGTTCTCCTCCCTTTTCCTTTTCCGAGCACTCGCCGGTTTCCATTGCGGAATTCATTTCTTCATTCGTAATTTTCTCACACACGTCTGACTGCGCGGAGGCGGCCATGTTTAGTTGGTGCGACTGTCAAATTCGTCCGGGTCTTTTGCGCTTTTATAAAAGTAAAAAAAAAAAAAGGGAATTACAAGATGTGTATGAGGGACAAAAAATTACTAAAGTATAAATAAATAAATGTTAGGAGAAATGCATACAATAATGTATAAATAATTAAATAAATGCACCAATACATATATAAATACTGAAAACTATACATCAATGAATAAATAATAAATACACTTTGTTAATGAAAAAGCCTATTTATCTATTTTTTACATATATTTATTCATTTATTAGCGTATTTCTACAGTTATATATGTATCAATGCATACATTTCCACATTAATTGAGTTATTAATTTATTTCCGTATTTTTACATTTACACATCTATTTATTTCTGTGTCCAGGTCGTAAGATGAAAAGTATATATGTAAATTTGCTTCTGTCTGTTTTTCAAAATTGACCAATCCTACTTCAGTAATGTTAGGACGGCCCACTTAATTTACATATTTACTTTTCCTTGTACAACATGGACACAGAAATACATAAATACATATATGAATATATTTATTTATATATTTATTGATGCATTTATATAATTATTTATTTATTTATACATTATTGTATGCATTTCTCCCAACATGTATTTATTTATATTTTAATCATTTTTTTGTCCCTCATTGTGATGTAGCAAAAAGTCATTGAAAAGAATATGAAAACACAAACACTGTATGACAGTAAAATGTATAATTTATCCAATAAAAATAAACGATTTTGTTGCGGAATCAAACATCTTCTTTAGTTCACCCGAACATTTTTACAACGAGCACCACAAAATCTACTTCCTGTGCAACTTCCTGTAAATACATTGGTTCAAAACATTAACAGACGTATCATCCAGCTCTGATAAATGTGAGTAATACAAGCTTTTATACTTCTAAAAATAACATTTAATTAGTAAATATAAAACATTAGTTATCTGTCCTGGGTCAGATAGCCTGTGGTTTGATAAAAGAAGGTTGTATTTGTTATCTCGTGTAGTAAAATAACTTAAACAAATGTCCTAGTGAAACCATTCTGTTTTATTTTCTTTAATTTGAACTGATAAACTCTTTAAACCTCGACTTCATAGTAAAAGAAAGTCAATGTAATTCACCTTTACATCAGGTGCAACTTTTCCCTGCAGTGTTTTCTGACTAACAGCACTTGTATGATGACGTCAGTGTGATGTGATTTCATCAGATGGATTCAAAACAGTGAACAAGTGAATTGCCTAACAGGTCTTAAAGAATGGTCTGTTGTGCTCTTCTGCCATCACCTCAGTGCAATAGCTGCACATTCAGCGACCAGTAACTCATATTTTCAGTAATTATTACTTGGTACTTTAAATTAATTGCAACTCAGTATCAGCAAAAAAACATTTCCAGGATTTTAAATAGACACAGACATTTGTAAACTTTTATTTATTTATTTGGGTACAGGCAGTGGTGTAGTGGTGCCTGTAATAAATAAATAAAGTGGGTATAATGAACTATAGTATACTAAAAAGAATCCCTCCATTCCCCCTCAAACCCCACACAGGACTCCCTCACTGGACTGTACAATACAATATAACATACATCACAAACGTCCAATATCTTTATCTGGATAGACATTTTACTCATAGCTTTTCTTTTTATATCTATTTATATCTGCACCTTATTTTTTCTATGTAAATACTTGCTGCTGTTTTTATCCTGCACTAACGAGTCAAATGCAACAAAATGTTGTTCTTATCTGCACTGTGAAGTACACATTTGAATGACAACAAAGAAAGTCTAAGTCTAAGTCTATAGGATAAATGGCCTCTGTTAAAAACAGTGGCTTTTAGTTAGAGCGTACTAGCCAATTAGAGACAGAGTAGGGAGGGTCATCCCTTCACCATCCGAGGACAAGAATTGCAGCTTACTAGAAAATATTGTCAATAAGGATTTAGAAGAGGGTTTACTCTATGGAGACTGAAAAAGAAGTGGATACACTCTGTATACCTGCTCTACACCACTAGGTACAGTATGTGTCTGAAATTAGAAATTTTGAACGCCTCATCTTGATATCAGAGTTTGTTTATACCTCATCCTTGATAAATGGTAACTCTGACTTCCTCTCTACCTTTTGAACTACCTCCAACAGTTTCAGACTCTTGTCCCTGATCACTCATCATGATGCGTTACTGGGGTGAGATACCCGGACCTGCGGGGGCTCCTCCGAGTCGCAGCTCCTTTGACCTGCTCCAGCGCGAGTTCCGCTCTGTGGAGATGCAGGACCCTCCCCTGCACCAGCCCTCGGCCCAGCGACCGAGGCCTACCACCATGTTGGACATCCCGTCGGAGCCCTGCAGCCTCACCATCCACACAGTGCAGCTGTGTCAGCACGCCCGCCGTCTTCGTGGTCTACTGGCGACGGCTCAGGCCCAGGGTCAGGGCACAGGGCTGCCTGAAGGGGGGAGCAGGCTGGAGGAGACGGATGCCAGCCTGCCTCTGCGTCCTCCCACCCCACCGGTCATGCCAGATGACCTGCTGCCTGTGGACAGCAAAGCCCCCCGGCAGCCCTTCCAGCTCCGACACAGTGACCCAGAGAGTGACTTTTATAAGTAAGTTGAGCTGGTTTGCTTCAGTTTTGTCAATTGATATTACATCTGAATCGTCTCCTTATCAGTTAAGTTGAATTTGTATTAAACTTAATTTGCCAGATATCATACTTGCTAAATTCTCCCTCGTTTTCTCCTAAAAAGGGGTAAAGGTGAGCCCGTCACAGAGCTCAGCTGGCCCTCCTGCAGACAGTTCCTCTATCAGTCAGTAGCCACTGTCTTGGCCCATGCTGGATTCGAGTCAGCCCAGGAGAGCGTGCTGGAGACCCTGACGGACATGGTCCATGAGCATTACCTGCGCGTCACATGCCTGCTGCGAGTGGCCGTGGACCGGGAGGCTCGGCTGGGAGCGAGCCCCTTCCCAGACGTGGTGGAGCAGGTGTTCCACGAGACGGGCATAGGCAGCGTGCTGGCCCTGCAGCGCTTCTGGCAAGTCCGAATCAAAGACTATCACAGCTACATGCTGCAGGTGAGTGCAGGTCAGGAGTGGGTCACAGTTAATCAGAAATCAAACTGTTGTAAAAATAACATGTGATGAGCTCTGAACTTTTACCATAAAAATGGAAATTGTAAACCTGTTCCTCCTCCAGGTGAGTAAGGATCTGTCCGAGGACTACGAGCGCCTGGTTAACCCAGAGAAAGCTCTGGAAGACGCCAAGCCCCCCAGAATCAAGGAGGAGCCCATGAGTGACATCTCCTTCCCCGTTAGTGAGGAGCCTGAGGCCGACCTGGCCTCTGGGGACCAGGCCCTGCCTATGGGGGTCCTTGGGGCCCATGGTGAGAGGCTGGCTGGGGGCCTGGATGCAGACCATTCCCCTCACACCTCAGGTGAGAGCAGCATTCCTGTTTAACCAATAATCTGCTTTCTTCTGTGAAATTTATACCCTAGCAATCGAGGGTTGCCATCTTTGTTGTATTGTGAATTTGAATGAGTTTTTTCTTGTAAGGTTTTGGATAATGTCTACAGTGTAGTGGCTTATTTGAGAATGCTCCCTCTTCCTCCTGCTTGTCTCCTTCTGTTACATCTGTTTCACAAAGCAACTAATCTTTGGATTAAGAAATCAAAAACCAGGCATATGTTCTGTTGCAAGTTAGCCACAACCTTTTTGTTCCTGCACTCCTCCTGCACACACACACACACAGGTGGTAGTCAGCGGGGTGGCCTTGGCCTCTTCTCTCTGCATTAAGAAACCTTCCATGCCCACTAGCAGCTTTTTTTTTTCTTTTTCCAAAAGCACCCAGCAGAACAGCAGCGACCCTTAGCCCTTTTGGTAAAAAGCCAAAAATGTATTTCAAATGTGTATCCTTCTTTTTGTCTTGTCTTCATAGACCTGGTTGCTTGATTTTCTCTTAAACATCGGGCATCAATAGGCTGAAGTGCACAGACTCCCCAGGTTGAACCCTCACGCTTAAGATACCACCCGTGGTGTTGTAGCATCAAAAAAAAAGTTCATGATACAAGTGAAGGTCGAGCCAGACTTTCATTACTAGTTTTGTTGCTGCTTCAGCTGAGATAAATGAAGTTTGATTTTATCTTGGAGTAACTGTATTTATGTTGTTCCCATCCATGTGTGAGATAAGAAGATTTTTGAGGTGATACAGCTTAGGGTGCAAACGAGTACTCGGGTACCCGAGCACTCTCAAACAGAAATAAAACTTCAGGTGCACGAGCGCAAAAAGAAAATAGATGACAAACAAAGCGTACGCTGCCATCCTAACAAAAATATTCCTTTAATTTACCCCTTTATGAATACACAATGAACAAAAAGTCCCAAACAAACGAAATATGCAATATGATCTACGAAAGTTCAGTTCAAATTGTCTTTTAAGTCCACAGAAAAAGAAGGACTTTCACTTTGCGATTACCGCTTTACTCCGCTAAACCAATGACGTTTGATCATCCAGGACAGAGCAGCATGACTAGATGTTTTCCTATATTTAGGAATTTTAGATGATTATTTTAAAATCTGTTAAGAACTACAAAATGGAACAACCTTATAGGGAGACAGAGCTCATAGCAGACAGAGGAGCGAGATTGAGAGAGTGTGTCATTATGTACGGAGGAGAAAGATGAAACAGTTCACCTGTTCTATTGTAACTTCATTAACCAGAGTAAAGTGTGCTCTACACTGCAGACTGGAGTCTTTGTTAACACAATGTTGCTGTCAAAACAGCTTCAACGTGCCTTGAGTGCACATTGATGTAACATCCGCTCACCACACTCACTGCTCTAATTATAATAAAGTGTTAAAACGGTCAGAAGATAAATCTGTGTTTGCTGTCTGTTGAAGTAAGAAATGTCATATTTGAATGTTAATACAAAGGCCTCTTACTAACAATTATTAAAATCCAGAAGATTCAAATTTATCAATAGATACAGTCGGCATCGCGTCATAGTTGGGGGCGGGGCCTCCCGTGGGGGAAAAGAATCACAGAAAAAAAAAGAACAACAAAACGATTACTCGAGTACTGCTTTAACAATGGGAAGAGTAATCGATTAGAGAAAAATTTTGCATTTCTGCACCCCTAGTACAGATTTTGGCTCGGTAAAGGTTGCTTTCTTTGAACTATATGAAATATGTTATTTAGTATAAAGTATGATTATCAACCAGTCCTGGTGTTGACCGCTGTCTGCTCAGCTGTGATTCTGTGCTTCAGGAGTAGCAGACAGTGCAGACAGTGTTGTAAACACTCGGTGAAGTCATTCTAACTCATCCAATACCTTGATTTTACTACATGATATTAACGCACATCAGAAAATGTTCAGATATTTCAGACTTCTGTAAGCTTGATCATAACAGCTGAACTGTATCAGAAAACAGAAGCAGCTGATGCTGACGTATCATAATTCTTTCAGTCTCCTCTTGGTGACTTTTGCTAAATGTGTTCTTGTCTTGCTTTAAGGTGGGGGCGGGGCCAACAACTCCCCACTGTGGCCGCAGGTAAAAATGGAGCCGCAGGACACCGACGAAGGCCAGAGCGCCGGGCATCATCATCAGCACCACCACCACCACCACCACCACCTGGGTGGAGACGTGTTCGAGGAGGGCGGGCCCATGTCCACCATGAGCGAATCGGGAGGAGCCATGGCGCCCTCCCCTGCAGGGGCGGCATCCGAAGGCAGCTACGCTTCCCATTCGCCAGACTCGTTAATGGGGACCTCGCCTGTATTCAACCAAAGACCCAAGAAAAGGTCGAGGAAGATGTGAGGCTCCGAGGAGTGGACTCCGACGCGCTAGTCTCCCCGACATTAAAAAACTAGCAATCCGCCAGGGAAATCCAGCAGCTGTTCAGTGAAGAGCTGCACAGATTGCTGTGGTCAAAGAACTGAACTTCAGAGGGGAAAATGTATTTTGTAGTTTTGTATTTGTTTATATGAGTGTAGTTAATCTCACAGTCGTTGCCATTAATGGAGTCATTTGGATTATTGTCAAAAGAATAAAAAATGATTGTTCATCTAAATCAAGTGTTTATTTCTATGTAGAAACATGAAACGAGGCTTAAAAATTATCCTAATGAATCGAGCAACAGGAAAAACAAAATGTCCAAAAGTAAGTAATTGAGTTAAACAGCTTTATAATTCAGCCGAGCGGTTTGTTTTCACAAGCTATTACGTCTGTTTCTCCTCACGCAGAAATTATTTCCTTTTTTCCCCCCATTATGATTAAAAGATCCTCAGGAAAAAAAAGAAAATATTTGACTTTCCTCATGCACATGATGTTGCATATTATGATGTATTTTCATCCCCTCACATCCTTTCTACAATGAACAGTACATGTAGCTCAACGCAGCGGAACCATCCACTCACACACACACACACACACACACACACACACACACACACACACACACACACACACACACACACACACACACACACATTACACACACCTGACAACCTGAAGCCGCCCGGCTAAATTAGCATCTGTTTCAGTAATGAGGCGAAGCTGTGCATGCAACACCAGAGGCAATTATGGCTTGGCTGTCTGCATCATGAAGGCGACATCAATCCAGCCTTAATGCCAAATTAATTATGGCGTGCGTAACTCTGCATGCTGAATGAGCAGGTATGTTCTAATACATGGGACTTGCCTTTTGTGTGCGCCTCATGATTAAGCCGTTAATTGTCTGAGCCTATGGGAGGAGCCGTTGAGGTCATGTGTATTGATACTGCATTAGCCTCTTAGGTAGACGTTTGATGTTTGATGCCCCTGCGTCTTAAATAATGTGTCTGATCTGCAGCAGCGTGTGACCCAAGTGGGAGTTGCATCAGCAGGGAGACAAAATCAGTTTCCAGACTTCCGATGGAAAAGACTCCCCTTTGTGGACCGAGTAGCTGTGAGCGATTTCACCTGGATCTCAAAGGAGTCTACAGTCATTGTGCTAAATAAAATCCGTCTGTAGGGTAAAGCAAAAATATATATTCAATACTGTACCTTTAAGAAACAACAGTTCACTGCAACCATTTAGATTATTCATTTTTAAAATAAAACTCAAAAGGTCTTCAGAAGAAATGATGACTGGCATACCCAAAAAAAAGAAAGCTTTTGAGCAACTACAAAAAGGGCCAAGACCATAACAGCCAGAGTGGAGTCCAAAGACAGAACAGGAAATGGTTTGACCTTATGGATGCCATCTCTGGCCACAGATCTCTATCATGGGAAGAGAGGGAGGCATTGATATGGCAGCCTCTCTGCTGGAGGCGATGATAGAATCTGTCGGTCGGTTTTTGGTCTTCGCTAAAGTGTTAGCTTTGTGCTCTGCTTGTAATGTTGCTGTTTCATTAGCGACTGAAATAGTTGTGGAACAAGTAACTCAAAAGCAACGAAGCTCAATGGACAAACCAAGATCAATGTAGCGCTTCAGACCAAGCCAGTTGTTCTTTGCTAGTTAGCAGGCGACATCTTTCATCAGTGACATCATCCATTGGTTTCAGAAGAGGCATTTTTTGAAGCCTAACCATGGTGGATGCAATGCTATCTCAATTAACTCTTGTTAATTCAAAAACAGGAAAGAGGTGAATTAAGACCACTATCTTTCAAATCGGCTTTGCCCCAAATTATGCAAAGTTATAAAATAAATTCACCCCTGTACAGAGGCTACATGTAAAGAAAAAACAACTTTCAGACCAAAACCAGGCTTTAAAAACGTTTATTTCTTCTGTAAAAATGGCCATTTCAACATGTATGTTAATGGAGATTCCTTTGCTTTTGCAGTCAGCCTCAAGTGGACTCTCGAGGAACTGCAGTTTTTTGCACTTCTGCATTTGGCTTCAAGTTGCAACACCAGATGCTGAAACTTCTTGAAGAGTGACTGTGTTAAGGCTATAGCTGCAAAACAACATGAAGCTACAGACTGACAGAAAATCCAATATAAGGAAAAAAAAGTTGAAAATAAGTCAAAATAGGAGATTCAACACTGAAAAGTGACAGTCAGACTTTTAAATGCTATGTATGGAAACAAACTCCCACAGGCTCTCTCTCCAGGTTTTGATAAAATACTTTAAAATCCCTGAGAGGAATGGAGCCGGACAGCTTCAGTCCTTGCTGTAGGCTGCTCCAGACTGTGGAGGCAGAGTAGGAGAAGACATCTTCACCCCAAAGAAACTTGTGGACTGAGGCAATGCAAAAAGTTCTAAAGCCATGGGGGTGTAAGTTAGAGTGGTTGCATGTTTAGAAGTAAACAGGAAACAGATGGATCTATACATGGTGAGATGGTGAGATAAAGTTCTGCCCATGGAAAATGATAACCAAGTAAAGCTACTGTGAGCTGTTCATTAGCTTTTTTTGTTAGATCCTAGAGAGACAGTAGACAAGGCGGTATTCCTTTTGGGTTTGCTTATCTTGTCTTGTACACGAGTGAAGAGGATTTTTTGTCTAGCGAACATCGCACTAATTAGGAATTTTGGGAAAATAAAAATCAAGCTCTGTTTCTGCAGCGTTCAGTTGATCATCTGATACATACCCTGTGGCAGCAGTAACAGGCATTAAAAAAAATCACAATGTACTTTATAGATAAAGTCAGTCTTTAGGTGATAACCTGGTCTGCTTATGTAGCTCATACATGTCTGTATTCATTTCAGTCTGTTTTATTACCAACTAAAACACTCTGACAGGTGGTTAAACCACAGAATACAGCTGAAGAGAGTGAGTCGAGGCCTTTAAGTATACAACATCCACACAGTCCTGAGACAATTTGTTCCTTAAAACAAGAACCCCAATTTCTATTTCAGTTTGCATAAAAGCTTTAAAGCTAAGCAAAGTACCTCAAAATTGTATTTTTAGCCACATCACATCTGACAAGCTGAAGCTACATGGAACATTTATTTTTGAAGATCAATCATGTAATCAATCAACCTTTAGTTATACTCCAAAGATCTCTGAGGGGCAACCCTCACTCAGGGAAATTGGTTTGAAGAGCAGGTCTAGTAAAAACATCTGAAAATTGAAGAGGTTCTGTAAGGTATGTTGGTTTTATTCCAAACATTACCAACCCTGCCTTAAATGCAGAATCTTCCACAACAATTATGAAAAAAAGTTCTCAAACCTAACCGACAAAACAGCACGATAACTTCAGTTTTTTAGAGCTGATGATCCACACCTCAAAGCTGGGACCATTTATGCCAAACAGGGGACACTGCTTACATTGCTTCATCACAGCAGTTTTAAAGAAAACTGTAATCAAGCCTGAAAATAGTATTGGTTTAAATGGTCGTGACTGTGACCTGTTGGATATAATGGGATTTTTTAAGCACATTTTCAGCCTCACAATCTGTCGAGGAAAGTGCGACATTGTTGCCATATTTAAAAGGCTTATTAAACTCGCGCTGAGCCAATGTGACCCCTCAGTTTGTCAACAGCTGCTGAGCTGCCTGGTGCTGGAGAGAAAAGGTGTAATTACAAAAATGTCAAGATGTTTTTTTTGTGCAGGGGTCTCTGAGAGGGGGCCAGAGAGCTCAGAGCAGGAGAAAGAACCCAACAAATGATTAATTATACCTGCCTACATGCAAAGCCATTAATTTAGCATGAAATGTAATCTCTCCAGCTGAATTTTGAGTTTGTGAGCAGAATGAGGAATATGTTTAATTTTTACACAATGAGCTCTGATGGTCCTTGAGGGTCCTGGGTTTGTTGCTTTTTGAGTAAATAAGTGGAAACACTCAGAGTTCTATTTATTGTTGTCACGTAAGAGACTGTACATCTGCAGTGGAGACAAATAATGAATTATGAGCCCAGATGATTGTATCAGCAGAAAGATGAATTACCTGACATATAGGAAGTGACAGGTACAAGGGGTCCCATGCTATACATGCCGCTGAAACATCCAAGCACTGCAACCCCAGATACGAGAGAATTGATTGCATGGCGTCGGTCTGAATCTATCGATGGAGATTGTCTCCTGGGTGATCTGAATGAAAATGGAAAATGAAACTAGAGTTGATGCCGTGTGAACAAATCAGAATCCATCCATCCTCTTGCTCATTTTTGTCAGGACAATGTCCAAAAACATGACCAAGGGTCACAAATAAAACCTTTTGAGAGTTCCTGGAAAGTGTGACTCACCTACAAAACCAAGCCAACTTAAAAACACTGCTGTTTTAGAGGTTGAAATTTGCAACCTTGAAGAACGATTTACTCAGGTACTGCCCTCAAATACAAGTCTACTCCAATAAATTGATTAGATCAAATCTTCATATGTTCAAGGTTTAAACAGGCAATTTTTCTTGTATTGGTATAAAGCCTGGAAGCTTAGTTTTGATCCTCCTTGAGTCTATCAATTAGATGTTTTGGCTCAGGCAGGTAAAAGGCTGTAACAGTAGTTGAGGCATGACGAGATAAAAGCATACAATCGTCTCAAGTACAAATAGATATAATTTTAGAAATATTTATGGGATGATAAAAACAAGACGGTACAAGCTTTGCTGTGTGCTGCTCAAAATGTAATTTACTGTCGAAGCAGAGACCAAGATTGGTGGTATAGACGCTGGTCTGGGCAAATAAATGTGATTATTGCACAGTTATAAGACAGGGACAGAGGAGGGAATAATATGAATAGAGGGAGTAGATAGGTGAATGAGCTTATGTGTGTTCCTGGGGTTGGGGTGTTGTTTGGTTGGGGTATGTCGTGGTCAAGTGGTGACAAATCATTTGCTTGTGACTTGAATAAGTCTGTGTGCATGGCTCTCTGTCACATTTAGGACTTATTTCCTTTATATAATGTGATGTTGTGACATTTGAAGAACTTTTATGACCTTTCCAGACCATAGAAAAGTCCAAAAATGGCAAAGGAATTCCAAGTACGAGCACAGACGGTTTAATATTCTTCTAATCATTTATTCATCATTCATCCATCACTCTCTCGCTCACTCTCCTCCTTCACCTGTGCATTAGTATTGACGACTGCCTAGTCCCATTCACTCCCGTTTGTCAAAGTTCTCAAAACCCCTCTCCTCTCCTCTCCTC